TTAAGGATTCTCTCTTATCGAATTGATATGATAGTAACTCGGGCACTTTGAAGATTCTCTTTCATTGGGTTGTTACGTTAACGATCTCGCGTACTTCTAGGATTCTCTCTCATCGGATTGTTATGCAAGTATGTCGCACACATTTAGGTTTCTCTTTAATTGGATTGTTACTTTAATAACTCGCACACATTTAGGATTGTCTTACATCAGATTTTAAGGTCGGATTGTTAAGTCAGTATCTCGCGCACTTTTAGGATTCTTTCTCATCGTAATTTTAAGTTAGTATCTCGCGCACTTTTAGGATTCCTTTTCATCGGATTGTTCCGTTACTATCCCAGGCACTCATAAGGTTCTCTTTCTTTTGATTGTTACGTTAGTATCTCGCGCACTTTTAGGATTCTCTCTCATCGGATTGTTACGTTAGTATCTCGTGCACTTTTAGGATTCCTTTTCATCGCACTCGTAAGGTTCTCTTTCATTGGATTGTTATGTTAGTATCTCGCACACATTTAGGTTTCTCTTTAATTGGATTGTTACGTCAATAACTCGCGCACATAGGACTCTCCTACATCAGATTTTAACGCTAGTAACTTGCCCACTTTAAGGATGTTCTTGCATTGGGTTGTTATGATAGTGACTCGCGCACAATTAGGATTCTCTTACATCGGATTATAACGTTAGTAACTTCCGTACTTTAAGGATTTTCTTGCATCGAATTGTTACGTTAGTTTATTACATCACTCGCAGCTCCCGTGGGCAAGATGAAGCGAATCCTGTGTTCTGAATGACTACCCCAGCGGGCAAGATGGGCCCATCTTGCCCGCTCGGGATTGCCCGCATTGATCCCGCGAATTAAAAAAAATAGAATTAGAACTACGTTCGTAATCCTTGAACAATTTCGGCGATGGAAGCGCAAAAAGCGGCAGAAGATAGTCAAAACAAAGAAAACAGAAACGACTCTCGTGAGTTCAATATGCTACAAACACAGTTGGCTTTCTTTCCCGGCTCTCGAAGTTAACAAGTCATTCTTAATTCTTAATAAAGCGAAATCTTTTTGCGATATAATAAATCCTTTATTAACCAAGCTTGTTCGGTCAAGATGGCCGTATATTAGCCTTGTTCTTTTTTCGCATTTTTATGGGCGGAGACGAAGTCGAGGTTCATAAAAACGCAAAAGAAGAACTCGGCCAATATCCAGCCATCTTGACCTCACGCTTGGTTAATAACGCATATAATCTCGCGCACATTTAGGATCTCTTACATCAGATTTTAACGTTAGTAACTTGTGCACTATAAGGATTTTCTTTCATCGGGTTGTTACGATTACTCGCGCACTTTTAGGGTTCTCTATCATTGGATTTCTACGTTAGCATTTCGCGTACTTTTAAGATTCTCCTTTATCGGATTGTTGCGTTAGTAACATGTGCACATAAAGGATTCTCTCTTATCAGATTGTTACGTTAATCACTCATGCACATATGGGATTCTCTTACATTAGATTATGAAAAATATCTTAAGAACCAACACTGCCTAAACTTTAGAGGCTAAAACCGAATTGTGATAGTTTGTTCCAATATTTATTTGTCACGGTTTCTCAAATTTCTCCTTCAGTTCATCAGCTGACATAGATCTTTTTTGGACGTGATCTTAATGAAAATTTTTGNNTTAGTGCAATGGTCAGTGCTGCAACGGCCGGACGACATATATACTTAACGGAACCGGAGTGCAATGGTTCCGCCGAGTAACGCCTGAAGGAGGGTACACCAGTACGCCAAAATCGCCCAGGAATCGAACCTGGCCCCCCGGAAGCGCTCCCCGCCTAACGGGGCACCTGAACAGTCGGGGTGTGCAAGGACTGCTGTTGGGTAACGAGTCCCATAATGCAGAGAACTACATGCTATGAGACCCTAACCCGCGTCAGGTAAGTATCATCAGTGCAGTGCTCATGTGCACATAAAGGATTCTCTCTTATCAGATTGTTACGTTAATCACTCATGCACATATGGGATTCTCTTACATTAGATTATGAAAAATATCTTAAGAACCAACACTGCCTAAACTTTAGAGGCTAAAACCGAATTGTGATAGTTTGTTCCAATATTTATTTGTCACGGTTTCTCAAATTTCTCCTTCAGTTCATCAGCTGACATAGATCTTTTTTGGACGTGATCTTAATGAAAATTTTTGCAAATAATGAGTGAGCTCGTAGCGCTAAAAACAAATTGGAAACTTATCTTCTATGAATTAATGTTTGTTTCCCAAATTGTTTCTTAGGTTTAGGCCCCGTCTACATGTATTCGGATATGTATCTAGTGAATACGGTTGTTGAATCCGCAACTCTTTGAAATATTCAGACAGCATGCTCCAAGAATTGATATTCCTCGATTTGTGCACAGAATTCATCCTTAAATCTCAAAGTGGTTTTTAATGTTTTAGCATAGAACATCGAGGGCTTATTCAGCTTATACTCGTTGCAAGCTTTTCGGTCTGATCCGTGTTAGATACAGGTACCGTAGGTAGGCTAAAAGATATTTTATCCTGAGTAACTGAGCATCATTCGAAAATGTTTTAATGGATAGAAAACTTGAAACGTTGAAAGACAAATTTTTGAACCGGTCTGCGTTGTTGGCTATACTTATTCTCGAAATCACAGAAACTGTAAAGTATTTACCAGCTCCTCAATTCAAATCTCGATAACCCAGAGTCAAATGGCTTTGCTTAGCCTTTTAATTCCCAAGATCTCACCTAACTGTTAATTGTCCCTGTAGTGTCGTCATTCAGACACAAAGACTGTTTCTCTTTCCTTGCCAAAGGCTAACTGAACTTTATTAATAAACACGTTACACGTATAGAAGTATAAGAGTTTACTGACTTATAGTAATTTTACAGCATGCAGGTATTTCCAGTACAGTAGAATTACTGCGAGTAGTACATTTACTGAATTAAGTACAAAGTGCTCACCTTAGAACCCATACTAGGTTGTTGTCAATAATTAAGATAGGTACATGTGTAATCAATACACTACACTCCCCTCTAGCTGCTATACACTTCCTTGTAAATTAGTAACGAGAACTTGGTGTTAGATCAAGATAACAACTTCTACATGATACGTTTTAGCATTCTCATTACCTGTTTACTGAATTATGTGTGGATATTATAAGGAGAAGTTACTTGTTAATCAATTCTGGGAGTTAGAGGGTTCACAATAGTAGGACACCTCAGAAATCTATTTCATGTTGAATAATTCAAAGATTTTTAATGGGAACGAATTTATTGGTGAAAAAATAGATAGCTTCATTTCGTAGCTTTTACCAAAGCTATTTATCAGATAATAATTTCAAAATAACTTTGTTAAATGAGTAATCTTCAGTTTTCCATTCTTTAGTGATTATGTTCTTGATAAAAACGTCGCTCAGCCGTTTTCATTTCTTATTTTCATTCGTATATTCACCGACTCTCATGAATTCTAGCGCACCAGCCTACATTTACACTGATTTACTATTTCTTTCTATGATTCTATCAGGATTCGGTGGGAACAGGAGCTGCTTACAATTCTCTGACTCTGTTACTTTTTCGGTTGTCCCATCGAAAATTTGAACACGGGCACAGTATTTCATTTGAACTATGCGAAAGATCAAAGATATAATTTAAGTGAGCAGAAACTAAATTTATGCTATTATTATTGCATGATAATTGCTTCGTGATCTCTGGAGAATTTAACTGGCGAGCATAAATTAACTACTTTTTGTTGCTTGACCCGAAATTATAGACTCTCGGTTCTGAAAATGAAGTGGTGTAATGCCAGAAATATGCAGGCGAAAAGCTTAAATCTAACTTGAAGTTATTTCGACGACAACAGTAACAGCAACAGCTACAGTACCAGCAAAATTCCTCGAGTTTTCTACAATATTCATCAGTGGTCGTTTTGAATTTAATTTATTTAAGTTAATGTAACCATATAAAAGTCTAATAAAGTAAGAAGGCGGGCAACATTTTTATGGCTCAAATTCTTGTTGTTAATTTTGATTTCCTTATTTTGCAGGTTTCTTCGATCACCCAAAGATGGATACCAGGCCGGGAACCCGATCATCACCTTATACATGAGACCAAAGACATGCGACATGTTGACATATGTTTAGCACACATAATATTTCATTAGATTTTTTTCCTTTTCTATTTGTTGTTTTTTTTTTCAGTAGATTTTTGTAACATTTTAGTTTCTGCGCTGATAAAAATGTATATTGATATTAGCGCAACTTACGTTAATATAAGTTAAAGTTAAAAACAAATATCAATCTTGAAAAGAAGCCTAATTGGATCGACCCCCAATTAAGAGAGTAAAATGAAAAATAGTTCCCTTTCCAACAACCGCCACTTTTAGTCAACATCTCCCACCTCCATCGGACAACCACAAATAGTTCTCTTTTCACAACCGCTATTTTTGGTCAGTTTGTATAAACATCTCTTGAAACATTTAACTAATATTACAGTACAGTATTACGATACAATCTTTGAATATACATGTGTATTACAATAGTTCTACTACAATCTTCTTCCTGCATTCTCATAATACAGTATTTAGACAGTTTCTATTTTCACTCGTCCAACCTTCCCCACCCTTCAAACAACTTAATAAGTATTTCTAAACGTTGTCCTACCATGTGGTAACAGCATTTATTAAAAACGCGTGCGTTTTTATACAAGCAAATGTCTGTCTTAATGCACATGTGTATTTCAAGACGTTGTTACCACAAGGTACACTGCTTTTATAAATACTTTAAAATATCGGATAAAAAGTACATGTGGGAGAGGGAGTGAGTATGTGTGTGTAGGTCGATAGCTTGTCGGCCCCCAATTTTTGCATTCTGTCCGAGGTTGATAATTTTCTCTGAGCTCTATTTTTTTTACTTCAGTTCAGTTTAGGGTTACGTTCACCCTCATGTGTAATAGTCACACAGTACTTAAAGATTTAAATACTGAGTTATAATCGTGTAACATTACAAATACGTGTTTCTACAACAAACCAACACTCATCTATTCGAGTGTATTTGTTAATATATTTGGTAGTTGGTGAATATTACGGATGCTTCAACAAGGAAGACTTTAATCCTAGTGAAAGAAAAGATTTATTCAGAAGTACAAACAGACGAAGCACATTTTTTAACATAGTTTTGATTCAAACGTTAAAATAGAAAGCTGAAAAGTTATCTTTTTGTTGGTTCAATTCATGCTAAGGGTGCTTCACATGAAGACTTTTCCCGCTAAGAAACCTTAAAATAAAAATACGGCGCCCAAAATACAAAATATAAAGTCGTATTTCTCTACATTGCTGATAAACTAAATATTTATTTGCTTGTTTTATCATAACCTACTATTACTAAGTAAACAAATCAATAAAGTGATCAGTTTTTATACTATATTTCATTGCGTCTTGCAAATAAATCCTCGATATAACCGCAGGTTTCATATTTAACCAAACATTTCTGTGCTCAATTCTCCCTGGCACAGAGTTTCTCCTGGCAACTTCTTCAACAAAATTTAAATTGGGATTTCTTTAAAATTCAGCGCCAAAAATTACATAGTATCTCGTGCGAAAAAATTAAATAATAAACGCCAAATTGCCTTCACTCTTAAAAAAAAATCAAAACAGTTTAGACTGAAAATTTTGTTTCGTTTCTCTTAAAAGAAAGTCTGACTCGACCATGTCTATCTGTTCAAATTTTTGCTTGAGACGACGTGTTGAAGTTTTTAACGAAAAAGCATCGTGGCGTCCGATAAGAACTATTTGATTTATCTCCAAAATTGTAATTGTGTGTTTTGAAAGCGTATAGCTTACTGTGATGTTTTTTCGCTATAAGAGACCTTTGAAGCCACCAGTTTTCGAATGTTTCACGGGACGCAAGTTGGAAAAGCACTGAAAATATTTATGGAAGACTTTAAGCAAATTCCCTTATTCAAAAATTCTTATTTTGCCTCAATTTAAATGAAAAACAGTAGGAATTGAAGGGGCATACTCTTTGAATCTGATTTTAGCCACGAGAGCTAAGACATTTCACAATAAGGCTCCAAATGAAACATTTTCAAAAAAGTTGGTATGAGTTGTTGGAGCGAACTCTTAATTTGATCTTAACCTTATAGGCTAGAACATTTAACAATTACGATCCAAGGTTTTGGATTCGAGCAATGAACTAGTATCAAATGTTGGACCTTTTGGGAATCTTTTTGAGCCACAAAGGGGCAATAGGACGTTTACGATTGAGCGGATTTGTTTTCAGTGGTTTAGTTGGTAAACGCTTTCAATTTCTGTTTCACTGAAATCATAAACTAAATTTGAGGATCGAAATTTCATAGTTGTGTTGATTATGTTTTCTTTTATATATTCCTGTGTTACACCGAGTGACTGTTCAAAAGATCTTCCTCCCACTTACTATAACGAGTAAATAAACTAACTACGATAGTTTTCAAAACCAAATGCGTGGTCTAAAGGGTAACAAGTGACTCTTTTTCGAATACGACTCGCTGCACAAGTCTTGTTGACTACCTAGAAAGTTCTAATTAAAAAAACATTTTGTACAAACCAACAAATCGACAACCATCGCGGTAAGGAATAAAGAATACTAGACTTTCAAACTATAACTTGAATTAACTAAATTGCATTTTTGGCTCGCGTTTCGGTTTCGTAAAATCAACGTGCTTTCTGTACAAATTTGAATTTTAGAAAAGCGCACAATCATGATTCTGAATGATTTCCATGAATCTTGTCATCAATGTGTGAAAGCATTCAACAAGGAAACATGAATAAAGGCTGATAGTATCGAAAGAAACTGTTTGGGGCTGCGTCGGTGGGAGTAACGAAATCTAATCTAANACTAATTTATTCTTGTTTTTCTCGTTGCCATGTTTCCACCAATAACGTAGCTCCATTCTCTGCCTTTAAAAGCACACACAACCCACAATTCCTCTATTCGCTCCGACGAAGGGCTAACGCTCGAAACGTCAGCTTTTGTAATCGTTACGGTGGCCAATTTACCACTTCAATTCTCTTAGAGTAAGTGGTAGAGCGCTGCACTAGTATCGCAGAGGTCCGTGGTTCCAGTCCCGTACAGGCCTGATTTTTTTGTCAGGTCTGATTTTCGCTATTGCATAAATAGCGCTATCTACTGCGAGGATCGTGCATCATACGTAGAGTAATTTTGTTTGACTTGTGTTTCTGATTCCAAAGCGTGTCCAGAAAAATTAACTTGTTTCACCCAAAATTTAAAAATCCCGATGAGCAAATTAGAAAATATTTTTTTTGCTAGTGCGAGACAAGCATGATCTTTCATTGCAACAAATTGTCGGCGATAGACCCATATATTAGTTAATAAAAAATTCGTTCGAATGTTCACATCGATTTTCGCCCAATTCATAAACTAGTCATTTTTTATCGATTTGCGAAACAATTCATAATCTTTATTTCCACCCCGTAAACTTTTCTCGAAATACAAAAATCTATTTCCTTCGTCGTATAAAGGAATCAATTTAAACTAGCATTACCGGTAGATTTTTAAAACATATATTACTTCCAAAGAGAAACAGAATCCAACTGATGGCACAAAATCAAGCGGGATATCATGTAAGATGGCACTGTACTAAATTCTTGCTTCGTGTTCGACAAAAAAAAAATTTCCTTTTTTGAATAAAAGTTCCGAAATTTTTGTCTTAATAAGCCTTAATACAATTTATGCTGAGAATGAATTTTCAATTGTGTCAATGTGTTTGTGACCAATTTTTTTGCCTGGTTTCGTTTATTTGTCAATCGTGAAGTACGATCGCCCGACCGCGGGTGAGAGTATTCCTGGAATGATGTTTTGTTGAAACTACTGACCGGCGTTAGTAGAAGCTAAGTCATTGGAGTCGAGTGAAAAATTGTTTATAGACAAAACATTACCACTTTGGTTTGTAAAAAACTGATTGCAGTACTGAAGTGGCTGTCAGACTCAAATAGCCATCTCCGTTGATTAGTCAGGCAGTTTTGATCAGCGGTAAGATTAGTTTGTTCTGTTTGGTCCTTTGGTGACCGCGTTTGTTTTTTTGAAGTCGTTTGCAAGGTACCGACATCTGTTTTCATTGGGTGTGAAATTCTTCTTTACGTTGGTATAGCAGCTTTTCAAAGTCAGTATTTGAAGACAGTGCTAGTCAATAGTGTTCAGTAATGTGATTTTGACGTAAAAAAAAAAAAAAAAACACGAAAAATCAATTAAATTCGTCAAAAGTTTTCAATTTGAATTTCATTTGGTATTTTGTTCGGGCGAAGTATTTTGTTCCAGTGCAACTTCAAAATCACATTGCGTGACAACAACTTGGATGTAACTGTGATACGAACTGTTACACAAACCGAAAAAATGAGCAATCAGTGCTTCGAATATTATGATTTAAGTTTCAGCATTCTGTAGCCAAGATCATGTCGACAGTTTCCGATTGCTTCGATGCAACGAGATTATCTGAAATAATTTACACCAAATTATAACTGGCAGTTCAAATAGATAACATGATCGCTCACGGTCTGCATAACAACCTGTAACATAAACTATTCCAAAAATGGTGGCTAATCGAGAGCTGTTTACTTATCATCTAGTCAGTTTTATCCTTTCCAAGACAATTGGTAAAAGAAGGAAGACTTCGTACAATAATTAGACAAAAAAAAAGGGCCATCATTTTTGCTAGTGCTATTAAGCTAAATAATTTTCAAGTTCTTATCTTTGAAGTATCCATAAAAACATCAGTGATTCCAGCGTCGTCTCCAATTTTTTTTTCTTCCATCCTTTTGACAAAATTATTCCTCCTGAAAGTAGAAAATATGAATGTGATCAGGAAATGCCTACCCTCTATGAGAACGAAAACTAAAAATTAAAATTCTTCGTGGTTGCTTGGCTCTTAGGCAAAATTATAGGTAAAAGGAAAACAAGAAATTTTTAAAATTTTAATTTACAATGAGGCAATGACCGCTCAAGACCTCCATGTGGCTGCATTCAAATACAGATACGAAAATGAAAAATTAAGTCCCCAGTAGGTTTAGCAAGCAAAAACTTTTTATTTGAGTGCCTCACTGAAAGTCTTTACAACCAAAGGTTCGATTCTGCTTTTCTAGAAGCGAACACCCTAATTTAAGAGTTTAAGAGCCGCTCAGACCGAGCAACCGATTCGTGCTTCGTCGTTAAACTGAGATAACACGACTCGTTTAGATCTCTGAAAGAGTTTAAGGCGATGTATTCTAAAGATGATGCTCACCTGTTGTTGTAATGGCACAAGAGTGGTTTCATGGCTTCTTTTACAGGTCCAGAGTCATATTCTTTCTACTGAGAGCGAAACGTTAAGTTATGGTTTACCGAAAATTCAGCAATTTCTGATGAATATGGATTAACAACTGCAGCCAATAATCGGCTGCTACGTCACAGACTTGGCGCGGAATTCTGTTACACGCCCAGCCAGCTAATCAAGATTCAAGCTAAACGAAAAGCATTGTGAGCGACGGATTAGCATGTAACAAGACGGAAAAATTCCCAACTACTGAATTTTAGGAACTTTTAGATGACCTGAAAATTTCTCTGACACACGAAAAAAGATAATTTGAAATAATGTTATCATTTAAAGTAGTAGATCTCAGTAATAAAGACATACTTTTGTAAGGCGTCATTTTGAAATTACGTGAATAAATGAATAACTGTTTTTAGCTATCCTCTTTTAAAGGAATTGTAATAAAAGAACGCAAAGATGATGATGCTGCACTCTAATTTACCGGTAAAGAAAAACACGCAGAAGAAATTAACGCATTGCTTCTCTCTCGTGAAGGAAAACAAAATTAAAACTGCGCGAAATGAATTAAAAGCCCTGTCATTGTATCACACAAGGAGAAGGCAACATGGGTACTGTGTATAAAACAAAAGTCTCAAAAAATGGAATTGCAATAAAATAAGATATTATTTATAATTAACAGACGGTATAAAAGAAGCATATGTAATCATTGTTAGGCCCAGAGGATAGGGGAACCACGAGGCTCTCAAGCTAACCCCTTAAACTATTCTCATATTACTTTTGTTTTCTTTATTATTATTGTTAATATTATTATTTGCTACCATTTAATCATTGATTGAATGTCAGACGGTATATTCTCAATTCATCTTTCTCTTGTGGAACAGGGTACTTATAAATACGTGGGATGTGGCAGCTTTTCTGATTTGCATGTGAGACAAATACTCTGCAACACTACCTTCTAGCGTCATTTCACAACCTCTAGTCCTTTCCAATGCTAAATAAATTGTGCAATATGAGTAGCCATATGCAGTCTTTGACTGTCTATTTTCTTTATTTTCCTAGGACCTCTTCTTTTGTGTTCTTTGTTTTCTCTCTACGTCACTCGCGATCTTTGTTATTTCCACCTACTCCTCTCCCCCTCAGTATAGCTTTATAAACCGATTTCTACTTGTTCCCCCTATACACGACTTTTCAGCGGGGAATTATATGCAACCTATTGAAAATAGTTGACAGACGATGAATGTTGAATGTCCCAACAGTTACAAGTTTTGTCTTTGGGGACGGGTGAGAGTAGGGCTTTTGATCCGCTGCACGTACGGTGATATCATCGTCTAGTTTTCACCAATAATGTTGGCACATTGTGATCACGTGCCTTGTAGACCAAAACAAAGAGGAGCGAGAATTATAGTTCGCGGCAAAAGATTTGGATCGCTGTTTATTTTTTGTGAATATTGCTTATTCTTGAAGATTTTAGTCTGAATTGCTTCCAGAAAGAGCACAAAAAGCATGGGTCGCATATTTCTTGCCCATCCTGGAGGAGCTAGACTTTATTCTTGCGCGAACTGCGACACTGCTTTGACGAATCGATCCCAACTAACATCGATGGTAAGCTTAGCTACTAGTAGTGACAGGAAAATAATAAATATTAGATCGAAGTGTCCGATTTATCAGCCCATAAGTTTCACAGGGTAGAATATCTTTCTGCTAGGACTACCATTGACGACTAATAAACAAGATCTTAGGTACTTCTTCAAGTAATGTTTTACTTTTCCCTTCAATTCCTTTTCGCTTGTGGAATTAAAAAAATCGCTTTCAACATTGTAATTAAATTTATTTGTATTATATTGGCTCTGTGTACTCTCTGATGAGGAATAATTACAGTTCATTGGCTGTTGCGTTACTTATATAAATTCTGCGGTTGCTGGTTTGCACGCAATGAAAAAGTTATGGAAAGAAGATGATTTTCCACTTTGAATTTGGTGTGTTAGTTCAGTTGAACTATTGTCATAAAACTCATGTTTGTGTTTCGGTTGACAGTGCATTTGAAAGTCACAGTTTTGTTCCCTTTGTGGCCTTGTTCCTTCCTTCACATCAATTGCTGAGAGAAATTAATAGTTTATAACTGAAGATTGACACGTTTATTTAAAAACATGAAAAAATACCTTTAAAGATATGTCGTCCATTTTTCCCCAGTACATTTTGATGTTACTAATAACCATAAAATTTGATAAGGTTAGCAGTATACAGTGAAACTTGTATTGAGCGGTCACCAATGGGGAATAGTAAGGTGACTGCTTGATACAGGCTGACTGCTCCAATTATACAGGTTCCACATATTAGGGGTATCACAAAAAACAATGAGCAACACCTCTGTACAGAATCTTAGTCAAATAAACTACTTACTTTAATTTGGGATTTAAAATTACTTGAAAGATTATTAGTTTTATTGGGGTTGTCTGGCAGTATTTACATTGATGGAACAAACAGTCAATTTGTTTAATTGTTTCTTAAATACCAATAGAAATTTACAGGAGCCACTGGAAGAGCATTCCTCTTCAAGAAAGTGTGAGTGTTCTTAATTGTCATTCTGATCATTATTAAATACAATAATGCAGTAATTCATGAAAAAGTCTTTTCATATACTTTAACAATTATTAGTTTTTCCCTTTATCAAGAAAAATATCTTACAGATAACATGTTTTTCGTTAAGCTCTGGGTCCAAAGATCAGGGATGAATTTTAACCAACAGGAAAAGATCAATGAGAAAAATAATTTTTAATTTGACATGATGCCTATTCCTTAACCTCAAAGCAAAGGATACCAATAATTAAAGGCTAGTAACTTGGGGGGATACCTAAAAGAAGTGGCTACCAAACATTTGTGCCTTTAGAAGCCTGTATACATTTACTCCAAATGTACCAGGGACCTGTTCTCCTCAACATCATTAAGCTAAGATTGCCTTTATATTGTTTGTTATAGGGTGAATTTGTCATACAGTGAAGTTCAAGACAGAGTGATGGTAGGTTGATCCAGGTTTATCTAAATCCATATAGATTGATCCATACATATATATTTATTAAAAACTGGATCATTGGATAATGCAATTCAAGACTTTTTATTGGCTTAGCCATTATGGTATATCAGCCAATATACCATAATCTACAAATATGGTAAGCGTATGCATCAGCTTAAAATCAAAAGGGAGCTAAAAAATCCAGTTTCTTCTTACAAATTAATAATTTCTTGGGGGCGTTTTTAATAAAACAATTATTCCACTCACGCTTGTTGGATATGAGATGATTATAGCCAACTCGGCGCTATGCGCCTCGTTGGCTATCTATCATCTCATATCCAACGCGCGCTTGTGGAATAATTGTTAAATATATATATATAGATTTTATTCCATATATATATATATATACATATGGATTAAAATCTAACTCTCAAGGTGAATACAATCCTATTGTGTAATTCCTAGCAAATGTTCTGTCCATGTGGAAGAAAATTTTTTGGAGGAGTGATTTTGGGAGTAAATCTTAGTCTTGTGCGAGCTGAAGTTACTCCTGAGTTAGAGTCAGCTGTCTATGGTGTAGCTTTCCAACAGCAGTGTTTGTATGGCTAGAATTTCTTTACTGCAATTTGCCTTCAAATAACATTCACTTACCAAAGTTTGCTTACTATTACAGTGGTCAACAAACACAGTTTCTGAAATTGTGTTTTCTAAAAAGTTAGAAATTCAAGAGAAAGTAGCTCTTTGAAATGGTCTCCTATTGAAAACAAAGACTTAACCTCTGATAAACACTTCTTTTCTGTTGTTTACAAAAGATTTATCAAAAGCCTAATCTTTCTGTGACTTCGGCTCCAACTTAATTTGTGCTTGTTTGTGGTTATAGCTTACTGGCAGGCACATGGTTCGAGATGTTTACTGCAAAAACTGTGATACAAAACTGGGGTGGATGTATGTAAGTAACAGTTACTGTTTAACTGTATGTTTGTTTACAAATGTTGTTCAGCTGATACCTATGTAAATTGGAAAAAAAATTAGAAGGGACACAAGCAAATGAACACACTACTGGAAGGATATTATATACTTTGAAATTGTTTTAAAATAGCTACTAGCTGTTTAATTAATGGTGTATCTTTTGTACCTTTCTCTTTGCGATGACAGGAATATGCAACAGAAGAGAGCCAACAGTACAAGGTTGGCTTTATTTTCATTTCTACATTGACACAATCATGGATACATGGTTAAATTATTGCAGATGCCTAACATAGTAATACATTTTTAAGAACAAATATTCTGTATTTTCAGGAAGGTCAAGTTATTCTGGAGCGAGCGCTGGTGACTGAGAGTGAAGGAATTGAAGAGATTGGTGACTAGTTGACTGCTCCATTGCATTTCACAAAAAATTTAAGACCAAGGATAATTTGTAGCACTTATATAGCTAAGGTAGCAAATAGACCAATTTCTTGAGACGTACATTAGTTTCAGATTGTTAAACAGTTTGATTTTATATCATAGAAAAAGGTTGTAGTTTTTCATATTGATGAGACACAGTTCAGCTAACAGTTATTATAATTCAAAGTGGTGGAGTACATCAATGATAAAGTGTTTTCTTGACTTCTCATGATACAGCCACTTTCAATGTGAAGCACAACAGTTTGACCACATACAGTGTACAATGACGCCCTACTGTGGCTGTTTGTCAGTGTTTGTCTTTACATATGAATAGGCCATTTTACAGTTGTGTACTTAGTTGCCAAGCCTTTGATTCAGAGTGAGGCTCAAGATGACCTTGTTGTGATAGAGACCTCTATCTAGTTAGCATGATAACAAAGTGATTTACATTTGAAAGGCAGCAAGGTTTGTATCATAACAAGGTCATCTCTAGCCTCACTCCCATTCAAAGGCTTGGCAACCAAGCACACAACTGTAAAATGGACTATTAAGTGCATCATGAGAAAAACAAATGTGACTTTGATATTATTACACTTCCAGTGATACTTCTGTTCAGATTTGTATAACTTTGTTGTTTGAACTCTAAAATCAGTTTTTACATTATTGACCATTTGTAATAGGTATCTTAACTGGATACTGCTTCTCACATCTTCTCATCCTTCAACACAGGTGTAACATAGTGTGTGCCATTGAAATGATTGTAAATATTTTAGATAACATTGCTGACAGGTTTAATAAGCATTTGTATGTAAACTTTGTACATAGCAAATTGAAATTCTAAGCTATAAGTTAGTGAAGCTTTATTCATACTAAGTTCCAAATGGATATTTAAATTATGAATCATAACTTTGCGTTACTTGTGGACTAATTGCAATTGTTTGTAGAAGGACATGTTGCAGGGATGTTTAAGTTTGGATTCAAAGTATTTAATGAAGAAATGAGTCAATTTTGGGTTTCTTTATGTGAAATTTACTGGATACTTATGTGAGGCTATCTGTTAATTGCATTGGTTTTCACACTACCTATTTGTGTTGAACAGAACTGTAATACAACCTCTTTACATTTGTGGTTCACTTCAATATAAACAAGAGTGATCAGTGTCTGATTTTTCTTCAAATAATTAATGATTATTATAAGGAGTTAGTACCTGAAATTGTAACAACCTCAATGTTTACTCAAATGGGTAAACAGTGTGATTAGTTCAAGTTTTTGAATGTTTTGATTTATCCCTCTTACAATAATTATAGGCAGGCGCTGGTCATTGTGCTTATGGGTGGGATTTAATGTTCACGTTGTCATAAAACTATTTCAGGAATAATTTACCCTTCAAGACACTTGCAACACTGTGGGGATTGAACAACTTTCTGGTTGCATGCAACCAGAAAGTTAAAGTGTGATGCCTTGTGGACATTCCCTCAAAGATACCTTTCAAATTATTGACAATAACCTCATCACCATCAAAATTTTATATGCATGTTAAATGAAAATTTTGAGAAATCTTTTTCATATTGCAGTAAGGTGTGGGTATAAGTTTGAGCAAACAAAACTAACTTTCCTCTCAGACCTTTAACTGGCATGATTTTATCTCAATAATAAAACTATTTACTGCATTTTTAGTCGAGATGGCCTGTTTGTAGGCTTACTTATTAAAGATCTGTTATATTAACAAATGAAATAAAATGGATTTGTGGACAGTCTTTGTTGTTGACTTCAATTATAAGCATAACTATTTTTCAGCAATTTGTTCTTTCAGATTGAGCACAAGAAAAAAAACATGCAGGTCACCAACGGACCAAACAGAACAAATAAACCTTACCCGACTGATCGAAACTGCCTGACTAATCAACGGACAATGGCCATTTGAGTCTGACAGCCACTTCAATGCTAAACTGAGTAATCAGTTTTTCAAACCAAAGTTGTAGTTTGGTTTATGAACAATTGTTCACTCAACTCTAATGACTTCTACTAAGGCCGGTCAGTAGTTTCGATAAAACATCATTCCAGGACTACTCTCGCCTGAGCGATCATACTTCACGATTGATAAATGAATGATACCACGAGAAAAAGTTGGTCAAAAACACATTGGTACAATCGAAAAGTCTTTCTCAACAGAAATTGTTTTAAGGCATATTAAAATGAAAATTTAGGAACTTTTTATTCAAAAAAGGAAATATTTTTTGGCTGTACACGAAGCAGAAATTTAGTACAGTGCCATCTTAGATGATATCCTTTATTTTGTGCTTTCAGCTGGCAGGAAAAACTGGCAGAAGAAAATGTAACAAATCCCGGAGTTTTTGTCTCTCAACTAGTACAACACAACGCAGGGGGAAACTACTCTTTTATTAAGTACAATAAAAGAATGAGTCGAAACGCTGGTGTGTTTAACATGAGAATTTCCATAATTCTAGCCAAGTGGACTGCATGAGAAGGACACATGTCACTATTATAAAACCATATATTACTGATGGCTCACTGCGAAAAGTCATTAGTTTTCTGAAGTAACGCAAAACCGGAAACAGAACGTGCAACGGAAAAACCGGAAGTTTAATCCAAGTGACAAAAACAATTGCTGACCAATCGGCGTTCGGAATATTAGGTTGATCTGAGGGACCAGCTCTTAACGTCACGTGAATTGCGAACCAAAACAAAGAAGAGCAAGGTTCGCAGTTAGAGGACTTTTCCCGTAGCCTTGGCTGGGTGTTTGTGTGCATTTATCGTTCGATTTTAAAACTAGCCCTCTGAAAGCCAACAAAGAAATATGGGTCGCATATTTCTTAATCACCCCGGCGGAGTCACGTTGTATTCTTGCGCGAACTGTGATACTGCTTTGACGAACAGATCGGAGTTGACATCAATGGTACGTAGGCGAATAATAGATACTAGCTTCTTGTCTTCCACTGTGGGGGTTGATTTTTACTCAGGCAGTTTAGAAATTGGAGGACGCTTTGCACGCCTCGTTTTAACATGATGCCATCTTTTAATTTTGTTTTGGAGATCTACCGAGCGAATTACTCACTTCTGATCTAGCTTTTTGTTTATGAAATGCAGCAATCGATATCAAAGGGCTGTTATAAGTCTTTTTGAAAATATCTCCCCGATGATTTCTCAACAGCTATTATCAATCATTCTTCGGCGTTGAAACTTTATGAGTTTTGGAATGAATGAAATTGAAAATCTAGTCCATGCCTTTTTTCAGCCATCAAGTGTTAATTTGATGAGATATTTTTGACTGAAAATAATTTCTGGATAGGACCACAGTCCTGCAGTCCGTTCTCAGTTTATTGAAAGCTTATGTTCTTTTTTTGGGGCTGTACCATTAACACGCTCATCAGAGATTCAATGGAGCCACCGGAAGGGCATTTTTGTTCAAGAAAGTGTGAGTGTGTGTTTTTTTTTTCTTTTTTTTTTATCATTACTGTTTTTATCATCATCGTCATCATCGTCGACATTGTTGAAAACAAAGCCCAAAGCCAGTAGTATCAAGAGGAGCATGATCACATAATAATACCGATATTTTACCGTGAAAAATAATTGTCTTGTCAATCTTAAGAGTGAAAAATTCTTATAATTTTTACTATCAATAATCACTCTTTTATAGTTGAGTGTTTAGAACTTATCGGAGAACTATTGTTTTTCAAGTCTTTAAAGATGTTCTTTGAAAAATCCAATGCTTGGATAGTGAATTAATGCAAAATTTGCAGCTGATGGTGACTTAAAAAAAGTCAAAGCTGAACAGATCTCCTCTGTCTTCATTTTACAGGGTTAATTTAACATTCAGCAATGTTCAAGATAGAGTGATGGTATGTTATTGTATGTTGTTTTATTACACGACTCGGGCAGTCAGAGGGCCAATAACTAAAATCAACCAATCAAAATGCTCTATTGCCGGTCAATATTCTCTCAGTATTGGACCGGGCACTATCCCGAATGGTCCTGAATGATACCGCACTTGTGTCCCTTTGAACTTCAGTCGTATAATAAATCTCCTATTAACTAAGCCTTGCTCGGGACCGTACTGGAAGAATTTTGGCCCTCGGTCTTTTTTGTACGGACCAAGCTGCGCTCGGTTCGTACTGTCAAGACCTCAGGCCAATATTGTCCCAGTATGGCCCTCGTGCTTGGTTAATAAGATATATATATATTACTGGTTTAATCCTTTAGCTCCAAAGATCTGATTGTTAATTCTCCCCCTCCAGCTGCTGCACCTTTCCAGGCAAATTAGTTATGATAATTTGGAGGTAGGATATATAGGTGTGGCAGCAGGGTAAAAGGACCTCCCTTTATAACTAGAAAAAGTGAAAATTTATAATAATAAAACATCTAGGCATTCCTTAGATCCCTGTCACATGCAACTTAAAAACTTCTTCGCTATTTTCCTGTGGATTCTGTTATTTGCAATCTGAAGCTTGTGAATTGTATCTGTAGCAATATGTGGTTCATTTTGAATTTCATTTTCCATTTGCTGATAATTTTCCCTTTTTTCAAATTCTTTCTATAGCTTACTGGAAGGCACATGGTCAGGGATGTCTTTTGTAAGAACTGTGACTCAAAACTTGGGTGGATGTATGTAAGTGTTTGGGAGCACTTAATGTTTTTTAAAATTATGTCTTCAGGAAACAAAACCGCAGGATTGTTTTTTAGGATTCTGAGGATTCTTTCTAAAATACCTTTGGTTGATTAATTGATTAACTGAGCAAATGCAGTACTGTTTTGAAACATGAACACCCAGGCCTCAAGAGCACTCTTATTACAATAATCTATTCCATTACTAAGTAACTGTTGCTACAGTTGAAACAACAGCAGATAGAGGAAGCTATTGTTTTCATTTTTAACTCAATCCCATCTTTATCATCTCAGGAATATGCAACAGAGGAGAGCCAACAATACAAGGTACAATGAACTTTGATTAATCTAAGGTTACTGCGCATTAGATTATATGCATATAGACTTATGTGCAATATAAATAATAAAGTAGTATTATTATATTATTAGGTTATTAAACTTCCAGAATGGGTCTATCATTCCCCACCCCATACCCTACTTTTACTTAACTGGTTAAACCAGTTCAGTGGCCAGCTTTTTATGAATAAATAAATAAATAATATAGTATTTCTGACCGCTTGCAGCCTAAGGCTGAATTACGGGTGCAGTTTAAGGTTGAGAACAGACGTCAGCATATCAGGCGCCTCTGGCAGCTGCTTCAGTCCATCGATCTCACCCTCCCACCCATCCCACCCCAGGGGAGGACATCCATCACACAGTAATCTCGTGTGTGGGAAATTAACGTCTCCTACCCCAACCCTGCAAGAGACGGGACCTCCATTTATTCGTCCCTATCTGAGAAGACTAGAATATCTAACCATTTCTTGATGTTATAGAAAGGTAGCAAATTCTTCTCAATTATTTTAAGACCCTGAGTGTTGGTCCGGCCGGGGCTCGAACCCTCGACCTCCCGCACAACAGTCCAGTGCTCTATCCATTGAGCTAACCGGGATGCGGTCATAGGACCATGAAGGCAAGGAAATGAATAATGTGACATGGCGTGAAGGGTTTGGGCTGAGATGCTTTGTCTGGGTCTCTTCTCAGTCTGTTCTTACCCAAAGTTTTTGCCCCCATATTCAGGGCATAGTTTTTGCCCCCATATTCAGGGCATAGTTTTTGCCCCCATATTCAGGGCATAGTTTTTGCCCCCATATTCAGGGCATAGTCCCTGCTCTTTACTAAGGGAAAAAAAGGAGTGCTGTAGTAGCAATCCAGAACAGGAAAAAGGAGATAGGAAAAGACACTGGTGTACAAGTCACTAAATGTAAATGCTGAATGTGTTGGGATGAAAAATTTTACTCATTATAGGTTATCAAATCACAGCCATACATGATTTTTCATGGAAAACTAACCATGCTCCAGTTAATTTATTTTACATTATTTTTCAAAAGCTTAGATGCATGGGACAGCTTCTTCAAGTAAAATATAGGAAATTATCTATATCTTACAATGGAAATGTGTCACACATAAAACTAAAAATAATTTCTCTATCTTCTGTTGTGTAATGAATGTAGGAGGGACAAGTTATTCTGGAGAGGGCTTTGGTGACTGAAAGTGAGGGAATTGAAGAAATTGGTGACTTTGATAACTAGCATTTTACTTTGTTAACTGTTCGGTTTCAATGCTGAAATTTGTTTTATGTAAAATAGTTAAGATAATACTTTGGCCAAAGCAGGAACCTGTCAGGAATAAGATATTCTATCTTTTAACTATCTAGGAATTATATTATAATACGAGGACAAGGGCAACTCTGAACCACTTGCTTCCAATTTTAGGGTGTATGGCTTTTATGACAGTTACCTTCTAAATTGCAGTAATTAAAAGTTGCAAATTTCCCAGTACATAAAGTTGATACTGAATACTTAACAATTATTCACCGAAGGTGAGGTGAATATTGTCAAATAATCCCTGAGACAAAGTCGAGGGGATTATTCGACAATATTCACCGAACCTGAGGCAAATAATTGTTTTAGTATAATTTCAGAGTTGAACAACAGAGAAATTTCTAAAATCATAACATTTTAGTAACATTTATTAACTTTTTATTTTAACATTTCATATAAACCACATGGAGCGGTTTATATAGCGTCATATAAGGAACCGCTCAACCAATCAGATTGCTGGAAACTCTTTGCTCAGCTCTGAAATTATACTAAATATATATATTGTACATGTCACATGTTAATTGGTAAATTCTAATATATTTCACTTTTGAGCACAAAAGAACAGCTTTGCCATAAGTAACATCAACATGAAACTTAATTTTGCAGAATATAGTTCCTTACAAACAATTTTACTTTATTCTTGTATCAGGGATAAGTAACGTAAATTAAACGTTTATTTTGTATTTATCGGTTTCTAAGACTATTTGTGTTTTGACTTACTACATTGTTGTAATTTCACTCATTACAGAAATGGATAAGATCAGGTGAGGGGGGCTGGGTTACTGATATCCAAGGTTAATCTTTGAATTATTGTTGGTAGATTGTATATATTAATAAACTATTAAAAACTAACTTGTAAATTGGCAGAGTAAGAGAAAAGTAAAAACATTGTAGCTCGTTTTTAACCATTTTAGTCAGAGATCGTTTTTAAATTTCAACTAAGAGAAAAGTAACTGACACCTAATAGAGAACATTTTGATTGCAAGGGAACTTCTGAGCATTTTTAAATTTTGCTTGAGTAAAAAATGAAATCTACTTCTAAAAGGTCAACCCATCTTTTCTTTCATTTCAAGCTTACAATTTTGTAGATTTATAGCTTTGTTGGGATTTGTTGCATTTCATGAGAGTTTTCTAACAATTCCCAGCAACACTTTGGAATGGGACTGCTCCCCCAGCTCATTTCTGTTGCTGTAATCAAGTTTTTTTTTACTAGGTTTGAATTATTAAAGGTGATGAACTTGTTTAAATTTGTGTGAATTGCAGGAATTTTCACCCAGGTAAGGGCTTTACAACTCACAGGTTTTGGTCATGTTTCAGGATAAGACAATAAATCGACAATCTCAGCTGTAATCATTACAGCACTTGCACGACATCAACAGCTATTTCTTTTCAGGATTTCTTCTAAATACCTATGGTCATTCTTTTCTCATGCATGTCCCCTCTGTCTGTTAGACAGTACCTGTTGTATACACTTGGAGTTCAACAGATTCCATGTTCATGGCACTTTGCTTTCAGGGTGGTTTACTAGTTTGGACTTCATCTATACTGTAATCAGCCCAAGGCCCCCACTTCCATAGAAAGCTTATTGTAGATGAGGGCTCACAAAAGATTCTTCAAGGGCCAATGTGAGGATCATTTTGAATTGAAAATCATGAACAGAAAACATTTTATTGGTTGGAAAGCTCATAACGTTGTATAAGCATTTTCCAAGCATTAATGCTTTCCCTGTTGTTTTATTCTATAATTTTTGTTGAGGGAAGGGGGAGGGGGAGGGAGAGGGGGGAGGAGGTTATAGAAGAAGGGGCTTCTAAGAAACTCAAGGCTCTGGGTAAACAGCATAGCTTTACCCATGTGTTTATAGTATTTGTACATGTCAATCGTTACATCACTCCATCTTGTTGTTTTTTCTCTTTATTAAATTTTTTTGGAGGTTTCAGTTGTTTTCTTTTACTCATTAGTGAAGCATAAGTGTACAAGCACAACTACAGCCATCACATCACATTTCTGCAATTCAAGTAGAAGCTTATTTCAAAGAATGATAATAATTTTCACATTTTTTTATCTTTGTGTTGTATTTTGTCTTTTTTTTTTACGTTTGTTTTCATTGTGAATTTCCTGATTTTTTACTTTTTTATTTTTTTGTTTTCACTGGTGTTTCAACCTGCAACTTCACTAAAAAATGGTGTCTATTGAAGAAGACAATTTTTTTCCAATTATAAAGAGATTTTCTGCAATTATGTTACTCTTCCGGAATTTCACACTGCTGATTCATAGATGGAAAGTATCAGTACACCTGGAGAGGTTGTCGATTAAAAGAAAAAAATTGAAATGGTGTCCAATATAATTGGAAAACAAGAAGTAGAAGTAAACTTTGCCCAACAAGAACTTGCTAAACTTTCCAGATAAAACCTAATCAAACCTTGATCGCAACCAAAACTGAAAAATTCTCTACACTAGGGTAACTCAATTTTTTTTTCTATGACCAACAAAAATTTAACATTCAAGCCCTGTAGTTTTCTTCTCTCATGTAACATCAAACTGCATCAACTAGAAATAGCCTTAATAAAACATTATCCAGATATTTTAAATTAGTCACCATTTTAAATTAGTCACCTTATCTCTTCCAAAAAAAAGGCATCTAATTATAAAAGCCAAATCATCCCTGTGTTGTCTAGACACACACATCCTTCTTGTACTAATGATAGTACTAGTGAGTCTTTCCAATCTTAATGTAGTCAAAAACGTGGAGAAAGGGGTTCGCTTCCTTACGTAAACCACAATTGTATGATACTATTGTATCAATCATTTGGCAGAACTAATAATTATTCAAATTGGTGTTAGAAAAGTTCTTTGTTATGATCATTGCCTTAAGCAACATATAAAAGCTATAAATAAGATAAAAATTGTTCAATTGTTCCACCTTTTCAAGTTCATTACTCTCCTCTATAGTGCTACTATTGTTCATGACCTAAACCAATGACATCCACAGGATTCATCGTACCTCAGATGAAGGCACTAAACACATTTCTGTGCAGCTTGTCTGGTGCTTCCCTTAGCCAGTAAAGGATATAGCCTTGATAGTTTTTCATAGTTGCCAGATGACAGTCACTATAGGCAATTTTAGTTTGTATTGTATACAGCTAGCGCTAGCCCAGGCTTCCCTCGAATTCGGCCATAATGTCGCTTTGTTGATTCATGTCAATTGTTCCAGCCAACTGTTCACATCAAATAAAAAGGACATATGATTTTTGTGTATATGGGCTAAATCTCTTCTTCCAACATAACAAAAAAAACAAAAACAACAAAAAAACAAAAACAACAGAATAAAGACAAGAAAGAAAAATTAAGTGGCAGTGAGGAAAAACTAATTAAAACTGTTTATGTTTGTGAAGTAATTCTTAACAGTGAGTGTAATCATTTGAGTGCTGTGGAATGGAGAAGGCAAAAGTGGACACATATTGCACTTTGAAACAGAAGAATGAGTAGGGTTAATTTGTTTTAATAAAAATGTTTTCTAACATAGACACAACTAACTTTTGGGATGATACTTACAGCTTCCCTTCTTCGCCGTTCAGCCTCTCTCATGCGTTCTATCTTCATCTTTTGGGCATTTTTAGCTTGTTCTTGCTCCTTATTTAGCCTTGCTTTTTCTAAAGCTTCATCTTCTTCCTTTTCCCTAAAAATAAAGGTCAAAGTGTAAAAATACATTAGGAATAAGAGCACAAAGTAAGGTAGAGATGGTAAAAGACACAAGTTTCCATAGCAGGATCTTAAACTGACCTAAACAAAAAAAAACTACCTTTTTCTTTCCTCAGCTTGTCGCAACTTTTCAAGCTCTGCTCTTTCTTTTTGTTGGCGTCTCTGTTCCTCTTCTGCTTTAAGGTTTTTTTCCTGTTGGATGGCAAAATAACAACTTGTAAAGTCCAGTTTGAATCGCAGCTTTACTGCAAGTCATACTTTGGGCTTTGAATCAACACAGAGCAAAGAGAAAACTTTTAAGAACTGCATGAAATAAAAGTTCTTCAAAAACAAACTCCTACTTTTTCTAACAATTTAAATTGTCAACATACCCTTTCCTCTTTGTCTCTAGCTTGTTGTCTAAATTTTTCAAAGCTACTTGCAGATGACATTGTTCGAGATGCAGATGGAGTTGCGTTACTCAAACTGGACCAAGAAGGTACCTGGCGGACTTGTTTGGGTGCTGAATCCTGCAGGATAAGAAAATTTATAGTGTAAATTAGAAGTACTACATTTTGTGTTATCTGAAATTTAGCAAGGTCGACATATTCATTTTGAGTTAGACAAAATCGCTATAAAAAAAATTATCAACAAGTCTACATGAAGAACCAGTATCTTTCACAACTACTAGACAGAAAAATGAAAGTACCATAATCTCAAACAGAACTGTAGTAGCCATTGTTAAAGGAGTACAAGGTTGAAGGGTAGAGATAAGTTTGTAAAATGAAGCTTAACCAACCTTCTTTGATGACTGATTTTCATTCTTTTGTCCTGAAAAGGAGAACAAATTAGATCAATTACAGTATTTGGCATTTCACTGTTTAATTAACAACTGGAATTTGTTAGAGAGAACAGTCATTTCCAAACTTACCTATTGAAGCAAGTGAACCTGGTAACTCTCCAACATTAAATGTGAGTCCACTACTCCCTGCAAATGAAAGGGAAACATAAAATAAAGTCAAAAAAGCTACCACAACAGTAGTTAAATGAAATGAATTTTTTAATATTTCAAGTCGATAGGGGAACTTTGATGAGTTGGGGGTATGGCCAACAGTCCAAATTTAAAAAGCTACTTTGGGTCATCACGAAGTGTCACCTGACAAGTGCCATCTTGTGTACTAATCAGAAATCTCCCCCACAATTATAAGAACTTCTGCCACTCACAGTCAATTCAATAAGATGAGATCCTTTGCCTGCACAACATGACCCTAACTGTGAAAATATGGGCCCAAAGAGGGAATTTGTTTTGCTACCATAATTCATTTCTATAATTTTACAACCCAATTAGGGAGAAAGGAGTTAAGCATCAGTTCAGAATTAAAGGTTGAAATGAGGACAGCACCTGATCGGGGAGTTGATGGCAAACTTTTTTCTGCCATGGGGGTTGGTGTTTTTTCTTTGAGGAGTGCTGTGGCTGTAGCATTGACAGGTGCCACTGGTGCAGATGGCTTCGTCATGGCCGCAGTCCTTGCAAATGAAGAGACAGCCTGTTTTGGAGCTGTGGTACTTGTTGAAGTAGGCTTCTGAACTGTAGATACAACTGGTTTTGGTGTTGACTTTGGTGTAACTGGTGGAATACTGGGAGGGACTGGTCTAACAGGTTTAGGTGGTGCTACAGTTGCTGGCAGGGGGTTGCTTGTTACTGATGTAGGCAGGGGAGTTGTGGTCACAGCAGTGGCAACTGCAGGTTTATCTTGAGGCTTTGGTGCTGGAGTTGACTTGAAAACTGGTGCAACTAAAGCAGTGGTAAGAAATACACTTCAGCCTTCCAAGCTTTAATATCTCTTCTCTTTCCCAACCCAAACAGGATCAAGGTTTTGTTTCTCCTTTAAAGGAACTGTGCTTACCAGTAATCAGAAATGGCTTGAAAGACTGGTGGATTAGTCAAGTCTCCAATCTAACTAGCCAGTTCTGTACAAAGGTTAGCATCTTTGATGAAAGAATTGTGACTGTCAAGCAGACAGATGATGATAAAAAAAGAAGGCAATTCACACGGTCAATTTTGATTAGGTCACTCTTGATCTTTGCAAGACAAAAAATTGTGTGTAGCTATCAGTCTTCAAGTTTCACACTGTCTAGGTTACCCAAGTTAGCCAGTTTCTAATCTTACGAAAAAGAGAAAGAGAGAGAGACAGTCATTGCAGTCTTTTTTCTCATGTAAGGTCATGGGTGGATTTTCTAAATTCTTACCAGGGAGCAATAGATCAAGTACTTAATGTAGAAAACATGGTTGCAGCTTATTCTAATTCCAGCAAAGGTTAATGTATACTCTCTTTTGAGAGCAGTTTTTACTCCTTACTTTTGAAAAAAAAAAAAAATGGATATTCAAATAAATTTGGCTGAGAAAGTTCTCTTTTAATTAAGCACTGATCAAAACAACACACAAGTTGAAAAAAATATATATTTGGCTTGACTTGTGATTAATTTTCTCATATCATCATCAATACCTGCTGCAACGATTTGAATATGGTAATGCATGTCACAAAGGTACCCTGTTGCTTTAAAAAGAAATTTTTACCAAAGATGAAAAAAGGGAGACTTTTGGCTCACTTCCTCAGTGGAGTGTTTACTAGTAACTGAGAACCTGGTTTGGAATGAAAACTTTTCACTGGCAATATATATTTCTGGCACTAACAGCACTGAGGTTTCAAAAATAAAAGTAAAATCTGGTCCAATTTAACAGCAATGTTTTTAATTTTCAGGGAGAAAATGGAAAACTAATTAGAAAGGTTACTTAATCCTTATTTGCAAATGCATAGAAATTATCATGTTGCATATCAAAATCTTCACATATGTAAATGTCAAAATCATGCTGTAATTTGAATTCAAATTTTAAAAAAAGTAAACAAAAGCTACCAAGTTTGCTGTGGATTGGAAATGATTGCAACTGTCCCAAATGATGTAACTGGCAATTCAAAATGCTTCAGTGAAGGGCATCTCAAGTATAAAATTTGGATATTTGAGTATTAAACAAAATGCTCTGGTAATGTAAATGTCAAGACCCAAGCCAAAAAAACAATACAAAACACAGAAAGCTGCTTCAATTTTGACAATTATGTTAATTGGATCCCAGAATATTTAAAGAAAAATTAATGGAAATACCAGTGTTAAGAGTTGTTCCTTGTTATAGGATATGGCTGTTGCAATATTAAATTTGCTGATTTACCCAAAAATTATATCTTTATGAGAACCATCCAAACGAATTGCTTGCTTTTTTGAAAACTCTCTACAGCATTTTTTTCAACATAGTGTACCAACTAAGTGGTTAACTACAGAAGCAACCAGTGCAACATTTTCTGAGGAAAATGACCTATTGCTATTAGAAGAAATGAACTATTTTCCTTTAAGTTCTTCAATGGTGTTGAACCCAAGTGTTTAAGTTTACAAAAGCAAGACAGCTGAGAGAGAAAGGAGTAGCAGGGAAAAGCTGATATTTGTTTACACAGCTGAGAAACTTTACTTCACCAACCATCAAGAGGACAATTAATGGAAGGAACTTGAAACAATTTAATTTGAAATTTGCTGTACTAATCAGTCTCTTTTGTAGGTAAAATTCACTGTGAATCTAGCCAAGTACAAAATAACCTGGTTACTCACAATTTTACAATAAAATTGACCTTGATAGTAAGGCTTTTATAAAAAAAGTAAATGAATCACAACAAAAAAACTACTTTACAAGCAACAAAGAAAAGGAGTAAATTGGGGAATAATGGGAAGAGCTACCAGTCTTGTAGATTTTGTTTCTAAGATGAAACCAGATTGTCAATGACTATCCTCTTTCTTACTTGATAATTGCAGAAAGCTAACAAGGAAACACATTTGGTTTTGGCACTTCTTGGCCCAAGTGTTGGTATGTGTTTTTTTATATAGCACAACCTTACTGATGTAAAAGCTCCAAACAGACTGAATTGTACACAGTTAAATTACCATTTAACAGAGTAGATGGTAATACAGTGAAAATTTTGTTATCATCATCTTTCTGCTTGCCAGTGAGAATTAAGGTTTGAAACTTAGTGGTGAATCCAAAAGAGAAAAAAATTAGCTGGGAATTGCCTTTGGAAGCAAATAGTTCTATAAGACTTGCTTGGGAGGAGGGAGGCGAGATGGAGTATATTGACATTTTTATGTCAAAAAATGTCCACTTTAGCAGACAGGGATAACTGAAAACTAAAGCAAATGGCTTGTTTATTCACGCCTGAGGAAAACAGCCTTCAAAACCAGGTTTGAATGAAACCAAAAATAAGCATTTGAGAAAATGTGAAGTTTGTCGACATTTTTATTTCAATTTCTTAAATTTTGTTCTTAAATCACAGTTCTATATCAAATCAACCATTTCTTTTGAATGGAAGAGGGAGAAATAATTAAATTTGTCTTGGCCATAGCATGTTATTTCTGGGGTTTTAAACAAATGCACACACTAGTTTTGAAAAGAAACTCCCATTCTACAGAGGTAGTTTTTACACCTCAAAAGAAATGATGGATTGAAGAGTTAAAATTGTATAAGAGGGGATGTAGACATACCAGGCTGAGTCTCATGACTTGTTACTGGTTTGGACGGCGTTGGTGTCGCCTTGGATGTGTGACCAGTAGACTTGTTCTGGCAAGGTTTGGAGGGAGAGAATGAGATCTGCCTTGTTAGTATCAACAGGCAAGTGAAAGAAGAATAAAATCATGGTGGTGCATTTCAAGAATGAGGAGATGAATGTGATTGTAAGCAAATAATTTGATTTTTTGCTTTGTGAAGTTATTTAACATTCCGGGCTCTTCATCTTAAATATTTCTGTAGTGTAAACCTATTTCATATCAGAAATCTTCCATCTGCTTATCCCTCAATACGTGTGCATGTATAGCCACAAGTTAAAGTTGATTACAGAGTAGCAATGGTAGAGGAAGGGAAAGGTTTTTGTGCAATGCAGTGAATGAAATCATAAGTACCTTTCCAGTACTGTGAGAAGCCTTGTGGGCTTTACCAACAGACTCTGTGAACAAGAAACCAAATTAGATTCACCTGAGCATGGGATAGTGGTAACCTAAACTTATCAAGGAGCAAAAGAAAACTTTACAAACAACAAACAATCCAAAAATTGTAAAATATAAATTTATTTTGTTGTATTAAGATGTTGGTAGAATGCAGAGAACAGTTACAAATGCACTGCTTTGCAGTCATTCAAACAAATCCCGAATTCTTTCTGTGGTACACAAGTCTTGACAGTCAGCTCTGAGTGTTGAAACCATTATGGGGATTGTCCACATCTTTGCTGGTAATTATATTATGTTAAACTTGTGTCAGCAACTTTTTACAAATATACATAACAGTTGTGTAACTGGATGAAGGTGTACTATCTACTAAGAACACTGAAACATTATATGAACAACTAATTAAGCAGCTCATAACCCAATTTAAAGCACCCATGGATTATAATTTACACTATTTACACTAAAACATAACAAGGCCTGAGAATACACCATAACTTTGTATCCTTGTCATGATTAAAGTAATCATAATTTTCCTTAACTTTAAGATGCAACTACTGTTTGGTGTGCCATTTTTTGGAGCAGTTTCTGCAAGTCTTTCTACTCTTCACTACCTGATTCTGAGTCAGAGCTGCTTGCCGAGCTAGACGACCCAGAGCTTGAACTTGAATCAGAACTACTGCTTGTCCCACTTCCGCTACTACTGCTGCTTTCACTCAACCTTTTTTGCCGAGGTTCGCTGCCCACAACATCTACTACAGAGTTATCTGCCCGTTGTGATTCTGTCAACAAAATCAGAGAAGAATGTTAATCCTTGCATTGGAAATGAAGATGAGTCTATGATAAAATTTTTCATACATTGTTATGCCTCAATGCCGAAATCACTCTTCTACAAGTAAAATGTTCTTTTAGTATCCCAACATTTCACCATATTCTTTGCTTTCCTTTGAGTTCATGCACTTTTTTGATGGCAATGGGAATCCGTTTTCATATTATGGTATTATGGGTGCTGTTTCATTACATTAAGGATGTTTATTAAAATATAAATTGATCCCAGGAGAAAATTCTGTTCTTTAGTAAAAGAAAAAACAACTAGTAATAATATTGTTCTTATTATTAAGCTACAGGACAATAATAGCAGACAAAACTCACCTTTCTTTGTCTGTTTCTTTTGCCCTGCACCTCCTAGCTTGCCACTCACGTCCTTGGTGAGGAAAAGGAGTCACGCTATCAGCCCAACCCCTGTTTTGCAGCTAGCACAAATAGCTTACAACTATTTAAAGCTTACGTAAAACAAGCATCTAATTTATAGTCAGATAAATGCTGGGGATCCTTCTAACAATATCACATGTACTAGTACGAACATTGATTATGCTACTACATACCTGAAGTCGTCTTTCAAGCTCTTCTTTCTTTTTAGCTTGCTCCATTTCTCTCTCTTCAGCATTTTTAGCTTTCTTTGTTGGAGGTTTAACTTTTTTTCTTAGGCACTGCTGCACATATTTTTCCAATTCTCTCAATGTTGAAGGCTTGAGGGTTTCAAAGTCTATTTCAATTTCATCTGGGTTTGAATCCCGTAAACCAGGTTCCCTGGACTGGATGATGTTCACAACTCTTCCAAGCTTATCTCCTGATGGAGAAAAGAAGGAAAAAGACCCATGGTTATCACCACATCACTAGATAACCACCTCCCGGTTAGCTCAAGGTTAGAGTGCTGTACTGTCGTGTGGGAGGTCGAGGTCAATGGTTCGAGCCCCAGCCGGACCAACACTCAAGGTCTTAAAATAACTGAGGATAATGCACTACCTTTCTATAAGAAATGAATAGACATTCTAGTCTTCTCAGATAAGGACGAATAAACCGTAGGTCCCGTCTCCTGCATCTATTAATTAGTTAATTTGGTTAGGCTGGGGACGTTAAAGAACCCACTCACGAAATTACTGTGATGTGGTCTGGCCTGTTTACTGGGAATTGTGGGGAGGGGGGATCTTCAAATAAGTTCCTGTGATTGTTTGTAAACTGCTGATGCAGTCTGGCTAAAGTCCCCCAAAAAGTGTTGTGATGTGCATTTGATCATATCCACATGTTAATTTGCACAATATAAATAATGAATTTTTAGTATAGGTAATCACATGATTTCGAGTGCAATTTGGAATAAATAAGCACGAGTAATTTTTTTCATAGACTAACAAAATTGGATGAGCCCGTAGGGTGAGTGCAATTTGTGGTCTTCGAAAAAATTTACAAGTACTTATTTATTCCAAATTGCACGAGAAAATTATGTGATTATCTATTAATAACATACATGAAAATTCAAGGTAGCTTCTCATAACTACGTAGAAGAAAAGCGCACGCATCACGTGCAAAAATAATTTATTCAAACCCTGCAAGTGACATTGACCGTGACATTGACCTTGACCTTGACCAATCATTCTGACCAATCAGAATGTCTGGTTTGTTTCTTTCTTTGCACTGAATTAACCCTCTTGTGCACTGAATTAACTCTCTTCTGCACTGAATTAACTGAAAACTGCACTCATCTTAACCAATCAGAACTGAGAAATGTTTTCATGTATATTATTTATAAGTAAAAGAAGTTACTGTGAATGTCTACAAAGTCAATAGAAAATAAAACTTAGGGTTACATGAAAGACAATGTTATTCAGTGAAAGACGCAGGCATACTTGGAAGAAAGAACTCCAAGTGCTCCCATTTGGAGTTCACACAATGACCTTGCCGTTAGAACTTCAAACTGGTCTACCAATACACAATAGGAGACTTGTGGCCGGCTTCACTATTTACCTAGGTCCTTGGTGAAAAACTTTGCAAACTCCTAGGATAGGAATGCCTTGTAACATAGTCATTTACTTAAATCACCGGGCTTAAGATTTCCTTATTCACATCATAACTTAGGGTTTTGTTAGATTAAAAGTTAAGTACAAAGGTGCCAACTTCTGCTGACACATACAAGAGAAGGGTTGCATTGCTCATTAGTTTTGTGAGGCATGAATAATTTTTTAGAACATCATGGCGTCTTTAAACGTTTAGTCCCTGAAAATGTTTCGCCGACTCAAATTGGTTTGTTGCTACCCCTAAAGAAAAACAAACAGTGTTGTTGTTTGAGGAGAAACCTGTTGCAACAACTTGTAAACAAATGTGTACTAACCTTAAAATTAAGCTGTATAGGTCTTTCTTTGGCTAAAAAAAGTTTGAAATATAATTACTTTTACAAACCTGGAAGCTTGTTGATATCTAGGCTAAGCTGCCGTTTTTCATCATAGGTCATGGGTCTGGCAGTATCTTCTTCATCATCTGTATCTATCTCTAATGTTTTTTTCTTTGCAGCAATCCTTTTTTCAAACCACAAAAATAAAAAACATCAGCATTAAAAATAGGACCTATTTTAGGTGACTAACACAATCAGGACTCACTTGCTGTTGGCAGATCTTTTAGAAGCCGACTGCTTCTTAGCTGGTTTTTCTGGTTTTGGTTGGGCTGGTGTAGCATTAGCAGCCTTGGCAGAAGACTTTTGTTTGGGTTTTGGCTGTGGTGCAGCCAGTGGTTTGGTTTCTTTTTTACTAGGTTTTTTCTCTGGTTTCTTCTTTGTCTTGTTTGTCATTAGAACAGACTCTCCAGTAAGTTTGCTTAGTTGCTCATGCACTGATATAAGCTGTTGATAAATGCACAAATGTTATTATCATCGTTATCATTTTCTTAAAATATGATTAGATGAAATTTACCGTATTTATCTGTGTATGAGTCAACCTTTTATGAACGAAAAATCAGCCCAAAAAATCACCCCCGACTAGTACACAGGTCATATACAAAGACTTGACCTGAGCAATCCAAGAAATTAGCATAACAATTGCCTGAAGTCCGTTAGGAAAACCAGGTTTACAAAACCAGTTCTAACTGTGTTGAGTTTCGTTAGTTTTCAGCATGTTCTTCATTGACGAAAATGTTTGAAATAATAAATTTTACGAGGCTTAAACAGAAACCTACTGCAGCTGATTTCTACTATATCTTCTGATCTGTGGAGCAGACATTTTTCCTTATAGCTTTGCAGCTGTTTACAGTGCTAACTCTCATTTTCATTGCACCCTTACAGTAGCTTAGTGACCTAGGTAATGCTGTTTACTTGTGCAGTCCTATTTGATATGGCAGTGTTTTCATCAAGCGATCCTTTGAAGTTCTTCGGTTTTCCTTTGGTGTACTAAATCTCCTTTCAAACTCAACATTAAGTTAAAGGTTATTTATATGCATGAAGATTTCATCTTCAAATATGGTTAATTACTTCTCCAATAAATCAAAGTGCTTGTATATGCTTAAATCGTGAATCATGGTGATGTAAACAAGTGCTACTAAACTTCACAGCACACGGTTACATTTTGCTCTGCAGTTTTTTTAAATTCACCGTGTTTTCAATATATTCTCAGAAATAAGCGATCAACCACTGGGGAAATTTCTATCGGTCTGAATTTTTCTTCAACTAGAAATGATGAAAAATCAGATTTTTGACCTTGAAAAGGGGGTCAGCTAATACATGGGTTCGACTTAGACACAGATAAATACGGTAACTGAGTTAACAATAAAGAGCATTAGCGCTCTCTAGTAGTCAGCGGTTTTGTTGCATATGCACATGCATCGAAATTCCATGTGCTGTTCGTTTGAGGCATTCTCACATGTGCTTCAAGCGTGTACTTGCAGTGTTCCCTGGCAGTTTTTCTCCACCCATTCCCTTCCTCTTTCCTTTCTTTCTGTGACAGGTGCCTATTTCCCTTTCCTGGGTTGCCAGGATTTGCAAGCCATGGGAAAAGTCTCCATCTAGGAGTTGGCTGCCAATAGTGGAAGCCCCAAGATATTTCAGGCACTCAACCTCCACTTAGCGATGCAGTTGTTAATTATGGTTAGTTACTCTCCTAGGTCCAGTTGTTCAGGGTGGATAATGCTATTCCACTAATAAATGGCTGTTCAGCAGATAAGTATTAATAAAGTATGCCATGCAATTAACTGAAAGGAGATTCATTCAACCAATAGCATTATCCAACCCTTCAAACAGCTGCAGCCATGTGATCAAGTTATAGCTATTTTTTTAAAGCCACAATAATGACATGATGACCTGTTTAGGGTAAACTATTCCAGGGAATGGGAGAAGAAAAACTGGACTCTTCAAGAGGCAGAGAATGAATAAGCTACCCCACAATAATTTCAGAAACCATAAGTTGCATGTATATCAAGATACCTGCTGTTGAAGCTGTGAGAGCTGCTCAGCTCTGTCTGCTTCATTGTCTTCCGAGGGAGGTGATGATGATGGTGGTGTTGCAGCAGACTCTGGTTCAGGATCTGTGGGCTCTGTAACTGGCGGAGGAGGAAGCTCTGGTTCCTCAGGCATTTTGGCAAACTTCATTTCAAACACATCCTGTAAAAAAGCGAGTGAAAATGTTAAGTCCAAATTTTAAATGAAAAAGTTGCTACAATTCAACAGAACTGCAATTTGTTTTTAAGGGAGGGATGGGGTTACATCCGTTCTTCCCATTTCATATTCCCTCTGAAGAATTTTCTCTAGATAAAACTACGAAAAAAGATGAGAACCAGTCAGGTGAGTAAAGTTTTGCTATTGGCAACTGGCTCTGTTTCCAGTGGTAACGCGTCATTTGACTTCTTTTGACAGGCTCTTTGAGGGGCCGCTCTGGAAATGAAGAAGGTCGTACCTGTGACAACACACATTATTTTACAGTGAAAACCCCATCACCAAACTTTTTCTGCACCTCAGTCAACTGATAATCAAATGATCAAACCTGTAATTGTCTAGCCATTTTAACCACATCGTGATCAGGGGGATTGTATCTGTAGCAATTACTGAACATAAGGCGCACATCAGCTGCAAATTCAGAGGAAGAATTGTACTCTCTTCCTTCCATTTTTACCTGTTAAAGAGATTAGAAAAGTTGTTTAGTGTAAACTTTTAAGAACTTGGAGGCAAAGGAAGATAAAGGGACTAAATGTCCATGTTAATAATAACAATAATAACAACAATAATAAAAACAATAATAATAATAATAATTGCAATTTTTATACAACCCCTATTGCAAGCCTCTAGGCACTTTACAATGTGTAAGAGAGAGAGAAAGTGCCTGAATATCCCCACAGGGAGGAGGTAGACCAGTTGGCAATTTACAGAGTGCAGCCAAGGGGTTGAACTCAGGGCAACAGAGAACAAATCCAGGGAGTAGCAGGGTGGAGGACTTGAACCCAGGACACCAGATTACAAGTCCAGCACCCAAACCATTTGGCCACACTGCATCCTATTAAAACAGATTTATTCCTAACCTTGATTGTACCCAAATCCATAGGTTGCTTGATGATGTCATGATAGTCATGCAATCCAAGACTACTTGCATCAACAGGCTTGAAAAATGGCCAAGCATATGCCTAAATAAAAAGTGGGCAAGGTCTTATTTGATCCTCTTGCTTTAAAGGGTAATCAGTAATACAATTATCTTTAAAATTTCACACAAAAAAAGTATTAACTCTAAGTTATGTTTAGCTATAACATCAAATTCTCATGACTTTCCAACTAACAAATGTGTTGTAACAAATGGTTTTCATATCTGGGTAATTCACCTTTTAACTCCCTGAAGTGATTACCGTGTAACTTTTCCTATACTATATCCATACATTATCCAGCAAACAGGTAATGAGAACACTCAAACTTCTCAGGCAGAAGTTGTTATCTTAAACACGAAGGCACACTATAAAAGGAGCCCTATGTCCCACTGGACCATTTGTCAATCAACCGTCGTGTGATGTAGAACTCTTAGAGTCAACGTATATGTGCACGATCCTTCGCAGTAAAGCACTATTTCAGCAATAGTGAAAATCAGACCTGAAAAAAATTTCAGGCCTGTACGGGATTACAGTCAAGGGATTAGAGTCAAGTCAGCTTGAGCTACAGCTACTCCAAAGCAGTGAACAGTGGGCGCATTCCTCAAAATTGTTTTATGTCTTCATCACAATACAAGAATTTTTGAGAATTGTATTTCCTTTCTCCAGTGGAAACTGTCTTTATTTGTGGCGGTAAATTTGAGATTGAAGTAGGTGGGTCGCACGTTACCTCATGCCACCATGGTGGTGGAAGTAAACAATAGATATCTCATTAGCTCCTTTTGTTC